AAATTACATATTTAAATTATTATTTAAAATAAATTATTCATTATTAAACATGTATTATTATACATCATTTTTTTGTTAAAAATAAATTTAAATGATAAATAAATTCCTAACATGTAATACCATAAAGAAAAATTTTTTCCTCAGCCCTCGTCATCTTCATCTAATTTCTTTTTTATAATCAAATAAAAATATTTTTTTCCATTCACTCATTTTCTATCCATTCCCCCACAATTCAAATATATTTTAAAATCAAGAATAATAAATTGTTTTTCTTAATTGGTGTGGGTAAGCCTAAAACGAGAATTATATGAGACAGAGACAGTATTCGGCAGGTTATCCGGACTACACCATCATCCTCCCCATTTGACTGGAGAAATGAATATTTATCAATCGAATTAATTGAAATAAATTACAACGAGAGCATAATATCAAATATATAATTATTGGGAGGCAAAAAATAAAGTGAGAGGGGACGAGAAAATTTTTATTGACACTTGAATATATGTTTTATGTTTATTTAGAAATTTTATTTTTTATTTATTAATTCATTTATTATGTTATTTGCTAGTTTATATTGTTATCATTATATTTATTACATTTTGCATGTTTTGTATTATCATAACTATATTTATTTTATTTAATAGATTAATCTCAATTTATTAAATACTATAAATCTTAAATATCTTTCACAATGCTAATTAATTTTTTTTAAAAAATTTAAAAAATTAAGAAATAAATATATTTTCTTCTTCCTGTGTCTCTAATAATTTTTTTATTAAATTTATCAAATAATAAATCCATTAATTCTAATAATTTCAAAAGCTTACTCTTTCTATCCCAAAATGACTTCTTTTGTTTTTTTCACATTTGCTTATAAAAAATTATCTTTATTTTTTTTATCTCAAAGAATTAAACAATGTAAAAGAGAGAACATATAATTCAATACTCAAAAATTAAAACCATTAGTTAAATAAAAATTCAAATATTTTTATCAATTAAAGTTTTCATTAATCAAATCACTTTCTAAAATAAAAGACAAAAATTAAAAAATAAAATGTTAAAACAATGCAAAATCTAAAGGAAGAATATCTTTGAATTTGAGTTTAA